ATCCAACAGTACAGTTCTCGATTACTTTTTCAAACGGACATATTTATTGTCGTGATGGTAAATTTAGAGCTGGTTACTCACTGATTTAGCATATGAGTGCCCCCACCCACCTTGATTTCATGCACCCCCCCCCCCTAAATGAGCGCCCATTTGTGATTAAGGGAAGTGCATACAAAAGTAGAGTATGCAATATTCATGAAATTTTTGGATCATTCCGGAAATTCTCGGAGCTACTCTGAAGTTCTCTGATCATCCTTCCAGTAATCGAAACATTCCTGAAAATTATGAAATTGCCTAAAAATCAAAAAATCTCCGGACTTTCCAGACGTTCTCTGCAGTTTTCGAAAATTCCCTGAGCTTCAAGTTGAGTTAATTGAACTAAACTGAGATTCAATGCCTATCTCTGATGGTCTCGAAGCTACTCAGAAATTCTTGCAATTCTCATGAAGTTTTTCCCTGAAAATACCTGGACTTCTGTAAAGTTCCCAAAATATGTATGATATTCTCATTAGTTCTCTGGACTTTCCTGAAATTCCAAGAACTCTCAAAGTTTCTCGAAATTTTCCTGGAATTCATGGAGCTTTTTTCTTCTTTGATTTGTTTTCCGCACTGAGTACCAATGCTACCGACGCCTGGGAGGCGGCTCCCACACCAGGACCCTTCTTATCGGCACATCAACTCGTGGACCAACGGCTTTACTTCCCTTCCGAAGGAAGACGTGATATCAGAGATTTTATGCCTCAGAAAATCCCAGCGGCGTCGACTGAGATTGAACGCAGGCCCTTTGGAGTGAGAGGCAATCACGCTTACCACAACACCACTCTGACTCTCACTGCGACGTATTGGCGATACCTTTTTGCGTCTGATCTTATCCACGACAGCACGGTGTGTGAATCAGTTCAGATATACCTTTTCTGGATTTCTATCGCATGGTTGTCGACAATAGACTTCATCAGGCGACTACCTAACAACGCTGCTTTCAGTTCGAAACCCGGAACCGATAGTGGCTTCAATGGTGCTACTTTCGTCATCGACGCTACCAGCGCATACCGCGGAAGTAAGCTAGGCAGCCAGTGAAATAGCAACGGTGAATTCGTACTAGATCCAGTGGTTGGATCCACTGAAAATGTTTACAAAGCTTCAACAGCTTTCTACGACGCTCTCCGGAATTACGCCATCCCACCCAACTCCACATCTCCAAAGTTCCTGGATCACTGTTTTTCCATGGATGAGAACGTGAGATATTATACCAAGCGGATCGTATAAGCTTATGATCAATAGCAAAATCTTCCTCTTCGTTGGCACTGAATTTCCGGACACTAGACGCGGTAGATCCTCCGGCAAAGATAGGCTGAAGATAAATTCGCCTGGTTCACCTTATCGTTGCTGAATTTCTTACGATGAGCATTATTTTGCTCCCCGATACCTTGCAGCACCTTCGCTGAGTTTGACATCCAGTTCCTGACTTCAAATTCGGCCTTTTCGTGTACCAAACGAACATCTACGGCTAGCTTCGTTATCTCCTCTACGGTGTCCCGGCTATCCAAGTAGTCATCCACATAATGATTTTCTACTATAGCCACTGCTGCCTCCGGAAACGCAAGCTCTAAGTTCTTTGCATTCAGGTTCTTTATTTATTAAGCCTGACAAGGTGACAAGGTGAACATGTCAACCCAAAAGTAGCCACATCCACAATGAAGATTTCCTGACTTACTTTACTTAAGGGTCCTGTGCACCACCAGCGGTGCAAAGGGCCAACGTGAAAGACTTCCATCCTGGGCGGCTGCTCGCTTTTGCCTTGACCTGGGCCCAGGTCAGATTCCTATCGACTTGCTTAATTTCCTTATTGAAGCTCCGCCGCCATGAGACCCTGGGTCTGCCTTTGCTGCGATGTCCTGCCGGATTCCAATTCAGCGCTTGCTTGCAGATTTCGTTTTCGCCCCGTCGAAGTGTGTGGCTGACCCACCTCCACTTTCGCTCTCGAATTTCTGTTGCTGTCGGCTTCTGATGACATCGATGATGGAGCGTGGCATTCGAGATCCAGTTGTGAGGCCACCAGGCACGAATTATTTACCGCAGGCATCGGTTGATGAAGACCTGCAGCTTTTGAGTGTTCTCTGCTAATACACACCACGTCTCGCTGGCGTATAACAACACAGATTTCACGTTCGAGCTGAAAATTCGGATTTTGGTGCGTTGACTTATCTGGTTGGATCTCCAAACGTTTCGTAAACTCGCAAATGCAGCCCTAGCCTTCTTGATTCGTCCACCTATGTCGCTCTTGATCCCGCCGTGCGACGCTATTTGGCTGCCAAGATATTGGAAACTTTCGACCTTCTCCACTGCTTGCCCCGCTACCGTAAAGTTGGAAGGGTTGCCCGTGTTGACATCCAACGATTTGGTCTTGTTGACGTTGATGGTGAGACCCGCCGCAGAGGAGTGTTCGGCTAGGTCATTGAGCTTACTCTGCATATCAGAGCGCCGTTGTGCTAGTAGAGCAACATCATCATCCAAATTGAAGTCGTTGAGATGCTCCATGGTGATAGGCTGCCAAAGCAGCCCACGGTTCGGTACACGGTCAATTGCACCTACCATGATCTCGTCGATTACGATGAGAAACAGTAGCGGTGATAGTATATATCCTTGTCTCACACCAGCGACTACCCGGATAGGGTCGGACAAGGCTCCGTTATGCAGAACTCTGCACGTGAAAGCCTCATACTGCGCTCCGATTTTATCCGGGACTGCCTTGCGTCTCAGGGCGCCCCACAGATTCTCGTGATTGAGACGGTCGAAAGCTTTTTCGTAGTCAATGAATACCAAATAAAGGGACTCTTGGAATTCATTGACCTGCTCCAGGATGATGCGGAGCGTGACAATATGGTCCACACAAGATCTTCCGGCACGGAATCCTGCCTGCTGCCGTCGGAGAGTCGCATCGATCTTCTCCTGTATCCGATTCAGGATTTCCTGAGCTGTTGATGAATTTCATGAATTTCCATAGAAAGCACTGAGCCAAGCGATCCACCAAACGAATGAAGGACTGATGTACATCTCACTCATACTACTTGCCGTTGTCGAAATCAAGACAGCACTTTCGGAATTAGAGTTGGCAGATCTGGTCCCTTCCATAGCATTCCGTTGAACCTTGGCAGCTGCGTCGCAAATCAAGCGAACCTTTCCAGGTTTCTGAGGATTGATCACTGATCGATTTGTCCCTCCAAATTCACTTGCAACTCTGGGTTCGATTTCAAACAACGACGAAGACAAGCTAATCTCCTTTCCGCCTTAGCGTAGCTAGGAGTAAACTGCACCTTGTCACTGCGCTATAGTAATCCTGTTTCAAAGCGACCGTCCTCTTGTCGTATTGTTGTCCTCTCCAGGATCTCTCGTGCTCGTCGATCTTTTCTCCGCAAATAAATTTTCTACCAGTTCATGCACTCTTCAATTCCTCGCATTCGCAGATATGAAACGACGATGCGTCATTGATTTTAGCAAAATCACTGATGCTCCCGAACACAGTCCAGCCAATCTGGTCGTCGTAACGACTGGTTCCTGTGCTCCCCTTTTGAGCGGAGTCGAGAGACGCAAATTGTCCAATCCAATCAAAATTCTTGGAGCAGCTTGTTCGTAGTTCTGGACTGGCAGCCCTTCCAGATAGGGATACATTTTCGTTATGTAAAGAAGCTCATTCAAGTCAAGCACAAGGGCTGGACCACTCCGTCGATGTTCAGCTGGTCGGCGATGTCTGCATCCATCAGCGTCAAGAATGAATCCTCATCAAGTAAAGCAAAAGCTTCGATCTGTGTTCCCTTTCCACACAATGTAGCAGGGATAATACGGAAAAGTGTGGAGTTTTTCACTTGACGATGCACAGAGACGATAGCTGTTGCTTTGGATCCCGAATGCGTAAACTGATTGGATTCTGGCAGACCCGGATGTAACATCGAATTATGAACCGGTGGAAACTAACGATTTTAAATTGGCTCACTACTTGACTATCCTATTTGTCCCAAGCAAATCGATTAACGCACCCCATTTTAGTCTAAATTCTTCTACTACACAATGTTTGTTTTGATTCGCTATGAAAGTTTGACAGATAAAATGAGGGGTTAGTGGATTTTCCTATGTTTCGAGGGGTGAATCGATTAGCTTGGTACCGAAGATAGTACCAGAGCTGAGCCAAAAAGTTGAGCACGTTTCTTCGGGACCTTCTAGTCTTAGAGTTACCTCTATGGAGTTAATGCGCTTGGACGGCTTTCCAACGATCCCCAAGCGTCACTGACCTAAACTTACCGCAGTCCTTGATTCTATGCTTGTTACTTTGACAAACGTAACATGGTCTAGCCTGACCATCTACACTCTTACCTGCAGGACTCTCTTGCCTACGAAAGTCTTGCGAATAATGCGCATTCAAGTACGCCCTCTCCTTTGATTTTTGTTTCTCGGGTCGACTCTATCGCTGAACATCGTGGTCACTGAAGTGAGTAACGTCGCTGGCCGCAGAAGTTATTGTCATCATATAGTCGCTGAAGTACATTGTTCAGCATCAACTGCAGCAAACTGTCTGGGCTACCCAATAATGTTTCTAGCGTTGACATTACTTGAAGAACCGAGTTAGGAAGGAGAATATTACTTCTGACTGCTTCCTGTGAGCATCCCTTCAGGCATCTTTGTAACCTTATCAGGTTTTCAGCATCCGAATAACCACACATCGCCGTTGAGTTTCTGTAGCTACTTACAGATAGCTACTCCTCAGGGTTTCCAGTGAAAATTTGAAGGTTTGGCTGAGGAATCGGCTGCGGAATCGGCTGCGGAATCGGCTGCGGAATCGGCTGTGGAATCGACTGTGGAATCAACTAAAAATCTCTTATATAAAGTAAAAAAAAAACACTCCTATACGAAAACACCATCAGTTTCGTGAAACAAAGGATCGTTTCTTATCTTTTCACTCCACCAAAAAATCCAAACCAAACCAAATGAAAAATCCCTTAGGCAAAATGGTAATCATTGCGGAATCGGCTGCGGAATCGGCTGCGGAATCGGCTGCGGAATCGGCTGCGGAATCGGCTGCGGAATCGGCTGCGGAATCGGCTGCGGAATCGGCTGCGGAATCGGCTGCGGAATCGGCTGCGGAATCGGCTGTGGAATCGGCTGTGGAATCGGCTGCGGAATTGGCTGCTGAATTGGCTGTGGAATTGGCTGCAGCATCGGCTGCGGCATCGGCTGCGGCATCGGCTGCGGCATCGGCTGTGGAATCGGCTGCGGAATCGGCTGTGGAGTCGGCTGCGGAGTCGGCTGCGGAATCGGCTGTGGAATCTCCTGCGGAATTGGCTGCGGAATCGGCTGTGGAATCGGCTGTGGAATTGGCTGTGGAGTCGGTTGTGGAATCGGCTGTGGAATCGCCTGCGGAATTGGCTGCGGAATCGGCTGTGGAATCGGCTGCGGAAACGGCTAAGAATCTCTTATATAAAGTTAAAAAAATCACTCCTATAGCCTAGTATACAGATCGAAGCGGAACGAAATTTGAAGCACGCGAAAAACCATGAAATTTCGCTAGCGAAAAAGGTTGTGAAAAAAATGTTTGTGGAACATTTTCCAGTTTCCTTTTTTCGCAGTTTACAGTTCATGTGAAACGAAATCGATCAGTTTACACCTCCGGTGAAGTGAAAATCTGACAGATACGCTCTTTCTCGAAACGTCAACTTTAGATACGATCCACAAAATTAGATTTCGCTGGATCGTATCTGTTTACAGTTCAAAGCGAAGTGAAAAATTTGCCAATTGCGTTTTTCACGCAGGTGAAAAATTTAGTATTTTGTATGAGGTTTTCGCTTCGCTTCTATCTCTATACAGGCCTTATAAGAAAACCCCATAAGAAATGTCAGTTTCGTGAAACATAGATCACTGGAAAATCCCTTAGGCAAAATGGTAATCATTGCGTTAAAGGACGAATCGAAACGGTTACAAGCTATTTCTAGACAATCCAAATTTGAGTAGGATCTAGTCATATTTGTCAAAATTAGGGTACCCCAAATTGAGTAAACAAAGTTGGGACTGACAAGATGGACGAATGGACAACACCGACCTGAATCCGAACAATGTTATTCATTTGTCATCTTGTCTAGTCAAATTTGGGTTGTTTAGAAATAGCGTGCAGTCAATCCTGCCATCAAACCAAACTTCACAGCAAATGAGTCTAACTCATATTTGAGTACCGTTCACTCAAATTCACAAAAACGTAGATCACTCATGGAATGAGTAAATTTTTACTCAAGTATGAGCAAATGTCACTCATGTTTGAGTGACATTTACTCATATATGAGTGAGATTTACTCTTATTTGATTTACTCATTCTATGAGCCACGTACGTTTTTGCGCATTTGAGTTAACGGGACTCAAATATAAGTAAGATTAATTTGCCGTGTAGGCCGTTTGAAAAACTATCAAGCCGAACAATGTATGACGTCCTAAGTAACATTGATCGATTCTCATCGTCAACTTTCGTCGTTTGTCGTATTATGAGCTATATAGGGAAGAGCACTACTTCGTCGTAATCGCCCATTTCCGTTCTATCGATCAGAAAAGATCAATAATATCAATGATTTCACTGCGTACAATTCAACAATAAGTTTGTTCCGATGCCTTAGTTCAGTAGCTACAACATACATCCTGTTAGAGCGCATTGGATGAATATGTACGCTCATTGTTCGCAAAACAAAATAAGCGATCCTAGCGAAGAAAATCTAATGGCATTTCAATGCGCTAGGACGGAATTGAAACTCGTAGAATGAATTTAGAATCAAGAAGCAGTATTAGATTTTAAACAATATCTCAACAATTTGTGACTTTTTATCAAATCTAACGGTACGAATGGAAAGGTGAAAAAGTGTAAAGGCCATCTTTAACAGAATTATTCCATTTTTTGTTTAAACTCGTTCAGAAAAGAGAGATAAAGCGCGGGTTGTGCCGAGGACGGAAATTAGATCAAAACCCCTAATAGCTTCTTTTATCGAATTATGTGTTGAAAATAGCTGTAAATGTCTATACATGGATACGTAGATAAAATCTACGAAGAGAATCTGTCAATGTTACTTAGTAACTAATGCAAGGGGTAATCAACTCTGCACACTGTGCCGAAACACATCGGCACGTCATGGCACACGATGACAAGTATGACTCAAAATATAATAGAAAACGGCATCACTGTTTTGCGTTAAAATTTTGCCAATCGTTGCTAAGGTTTACTACTTTGTTTACCTCAAAGTAAGGGGGAAAAGGACATTTTGTTGACAGTGCCATTGCTATTTTTTGACGATTTTCTAGCGGAACGGTCCGCAATAATAATAAGTCCTTATGCCTTTTGCGGAAAGAACCTCTACAGAAAGTCCACACGGCTTTTGAGAGATGTTCATATTTTCGAAAGAATTTTTGTTTTTTGGAGATTCCAAACGAATTAATCAGAGTCACCATGCCACGTAAAATAGACTTGAATACGTGTTACCCGCAGATGGCCATAGAATCCGGACCGAGAGCCAATTATATGGTTAAGGAGAATTGTAGAATGCAGTTCCGATTGCAGGGCTCATGTACGATATCAACAACAGCCGGACGATAACTGTGGAGGCTGGTGGAGTTAGTAGATCCCGTATTACCGGTTCGCAGTCTCTCTACGCTCATTCGCTACTGGGTGTTCGTTTCACTGACGGCAATAGCAATAATAAGAAAGATGCTTCTAACAGAATTGTACCAGTAGCCACACCGGAGGTAACGGAGACAATCTGATTCACGGTATTATTGAAAACAATTGGAACCGCCAGCAGATTCAGGGAGACTAATATGCGATTCCAGCATGACCAAGAAAGGATATAAAATATGAAGGAACAACAAGCAAATACAAGGAGGAGGTATTCATCAAACGACTGAAACCAGTAATAAGTCCCTGGACCGAAATTTGAATGCTGTTGAAAATTATTCCATGGAAGATAAATTTTTTCGTAAATGACAAATCTCAGCGGATTCCTGGGTCTCCTGTTCAAAATTTCTAGACCATGGACGAAGTAGTTTGACTCCACCGTAAAAAAGGTGAGGCTAGTTCAAACGAATTCACTACCCAACCACGACTACTGACACTGGGAAGCTACTGCAGTCTATTGTTGCTTTTTAAGTCGATTCTATGCATTGTCATCCTGCTACTCGGGAAATGATACAATCTAAAAAACAGAAAGGAAGTTTTTTAGATTGTATCATTTCCCGAGTAGCAGGATGACAACGCATATAATCTTCCACTCGCCGGTGATGCATTTTCAACTTGCCGGTTGGGTACTTGGTTTCGGCAAACGTCTGCCAGAACGACGAACGGTTTCTAACTTTCTCCTTCTGCTCCAGCTTCTGTCATCAGTCACACTTCTCTTTCTCACGGAGAGGCTGCATGTGTTCTCAAATGTTTCCGTTTTTCATCTGCGGGAACTTGAAGCTGTAAACAAATAAATCTCAAAAGTCATAACTGCAGGTATGCCAAACTTATGGGGCACTGAGACTGATATCTTGATTGCCATACTTCGGCACGTTCGGCACAGATAATGTACTCGGCACAGATTGAGATGTGCAGAGTTGAACAGCCCTTGAACTAATGCATTGTTCAGCTTGCTATCACTTTTTTTAAAAATAATCTATATTTCTTGAATTTGTGTGGTTTACATGTATTACTTATCAAGTGACACAGATGCGTCTTTTCAACTTTAGTTCCTTTGAAATTTCAATTATTATTAATTACAGTTCCTAGTCCTATCAGGCCTGTTTTAAGAACGACCACCTTGGTAGAAATGGTTGCTTGCTATACCTTGACTCAAATCACAAGAGAGGTCGTAGATCTTCAGATAAATGTTCAAAGAAATTTTTAAAACTTTCAGTAAGCAAAAATCAATTTGTAAAACTATAAGCGAAATTTTGCAAATCTTCAGCAAAATTCGCATAACTTAAGACAAGTCCAAGAATCTGCAGTGAAATATAAAGTATTTCACAGAAGTTTGGAGATCTACCGAAACATTGTTCAACATCAGAAAAGTTCGTAGAACTTCTGAACAAAGCTACAGAACTTTGAAAAAAATTACAGGACTTCTGAAAAAATCACAAGAATGGTCATAGATCTTCAAATAAATTTGAAGACCTCCAAGAAAGTGTGCAGATTTTCTGATAGATTTTTAGAAAAAAAAAATTGTAAAATTTGCAAAACTACAGGGAAGTTCGGCGATTTAAAAAAAAAATATTTACACGATTTCAGGAAAATTTGTAGGAAGCTCAAATATTTTCAAATAACTTTTGACAACTTTAGGTAATTAAGAAGTTCTTCAGGGAAATTTTCAGATCTTCAGGTTAGCCAGAGAGCCTGCAGAGGGATTTACAAAACATCAGAGAAGTTTGCAGATCTACTGAGAAATTTATTGAGCCTCAAGGTTTTTTTTGTAGATCTTGGGAATAGAGCTACGGAGCTTAAGACAACTTTACAGAACTTTAAAGATATTTGCAGCAATTTGACAGAAAGTTTCACAGTTTCAGACAAATGTGAGATCTTCAGAAAAATTCGTCAAATGTCAGAAAAGCAACTCAATTCCAAAAACAAATCGCAGCGAAGTACAAAAGTAAAAGATTATGCAGAACTCCATGGAAGTCGGAAATAGATAGAACTAAAGAACTTCAGAGAAGTTCGCAGACTTTAATAGAAGTCTGTAGAACGTCAGAAAGTTCATATGTTTTTAGAAAAAAAATCAAAAACTTCAGCGAAACTCACAGATCTTCGGGAAAGTTCGCCGATCTTTAGAAGTGTTTACACAACTTCAGAGAAGTTCGTAAATCTTCAGATAAATGTTTTAAACTTCAGCGAAGTTCATATATTTTCAGATAATTGTAAAGCTTTGGGTAATTTCAAAGAATTTCAGATAAATCTGCAGAACTTTATGGAAATCCAAGAATCCACAAAGAAATTTACAGAACATTAGAAAAGTTCGGAGATCTACTGTGAAATTTATTGAACTTCAGGGCAGTTCGTAGATCTTTAGAGCAGAAATGCAGTACTTCAGAAAAAATTACAGAATATGAAATAAATTTTAGAAACTTCAGAAAAGTTCAGAGGGTAGATCGTAAATCTTCTCAAAAATTAGCAAATGTTTAAATAAATTTTCAGAATTTTACAGCGGTTCTTGGATTTTGAGAGACATTTACAGAACTTCAGGGAAGTTTGCTGCTCTTTAGAGATATTTGCACAGCTTCAGAAAAATTAGTAGAACTTCAGAAAACTTCCTAAAACTTCCGGAAAGCTCAAAAATTTCTATATAATCTTTCAATTCTTTAGGAAGTTGTGTAGATGTTCGGAGATATTTGCAGATATTCATTGAATCATGAAAGTATACAGAGAAAAATTACAGAACTTGCGAGAAGTTCGTAGATTATTATAAATTTTGTGAACTTCAGAGATAGTTATTGATCTTCAAGGATCTTACAT